GACCATAGAGTTCAGGGTCCAAATCTGGGCTCTCTATTCTGTTCCATTGATCTATGTTTCTGTTTTTGTGCCAGTACCATGCTATCTTAGTGGTCACAGCTTTGTAATATCGCTTGAAATCAGACAACGTGATGCCCAGCTTTGTTTTTCTTTTTCAACATTTCCGTGGTGATTCGCGTTCTTTTCTGGTTCCATACAAATTTTAGGATTGTTTGTTCCAGCACTTTGAAAAATGCCTTTGGAATTTTGATTGGGATGCCATTGAAGGTATAGATTGCTCTGGGCAACATAGATATTTAACAATGTTTATTCTTCTAATCCATGAGCATGGAATGTTTTTTCATCTTTTTGTGTCTTCTTCAATTTCTTTTATAAGTGTTCTGTAGTTTCTAGAGTATAGATCCTTTACCTCTTCGGTTAGGTTTATTCCTAGGTATCATGGTTTTTGGTACTATTGTAAATGGAATCAATTCCCTAATTTCTCTTTCTACAGTTACATTGTTAGTGTATAGAAAAGCAACTGGTTTCTGTGTATTGATTTTGTATCCTGCCACATTACTGAATTGCTTTATGAGTTCTAGTAATTTGGGGGTGGAGTCTTTTGGGTTTTCCACATAAATTATGTCATCTGTGAAGAGAGAGAGTTTGACTTCTTCTTTGCCAATTTGAATACCTTTTCTTTTTGTTGTCTGATTGCTGTTGCTAGGACTTCAATTATTTGTTCAACAGTAATGGCGAGAGTGGACATCCTTGTCATGTTCCTGATCTTAAGAGAAAAGCTCTCAGGTTTTCTCCACTGAAAATGATATTCACTGTGGGCTTTTCATAGATGTTTTTTATGAAATTGAGGAATGTTCCCTCTATCCCTACACTCTGAAGAGTTTTAATCAGGAAAGGATGCTGTATTTTGAAAAGTGCTTTTTTCTGCATCATTTGAGAGGATCATATGGTTCTTGTCTCTTTTATTAATGTGTTTTATCACACTGATTGATTTGTGAATGTTGAACCCCCCTTGCATCCCAGGAGTAAATCCCACCTGGTCATGATGGATAATCCTTTTAATGTATTGTTGAATCCTATCGGCTAGGCTCTTGTTGAGATTTTTGGCATCCATTTATCAGGGATATTGATATGTAATTCTCCTTTTTAATGGGGTCTTTGCCTGGTTTGGGGATCAAGGTAATGCTGGCCTTATAGAACGAGTTTGGAAGTTTTCCTTCTGTTTCTATTATTTGAAAGAGCTTCAGGAAAATAGGTATTATTTCTTCTTTAAATTTTTAGTAGAATTCACCTGGGAATCCATTAGGTCCTGGACTCTTGTTTTTTGGGAGGTTTTTGATCACTGCTTCAATTTCGTTACTGGCTATTGGTCTATTCAGATTGTCAATTTCTTCCTGTTTCAGTCTTGGTAGTTTACAGGTTTCCCAGAAGGCATCCATTTCTTCCAAGTTGCTTAATTTATTGGCATATAGTTGCTGGATAATAATTTCTCATAATTGTTTCTATTTCCTTGGTGTTAGTCATGATCTCTCCCCTCTCATTCATAATTTTATTAATTTGGGTCCTTTTTCTTTTCTTTTGATAAGTCTGGCCAGAGGTTTATTGATCTTATTAATTCTTTCAAAGAGCCAGCTTCTAGTTTCATTGATCTGCTCTACTGTTTTCTGGTTTCTATGTCATTGATCTCTGCTCTAATCTTTATTATTTCTCTTCTCCTGCTTATTTTAGGTTTTATTTGTTTTCTTTCTCCAGTTCCTTTAGGTGTAAGGTTAGCTTGTGCATTTGGGATTTTTCTACTTTTTTCAGTGAGGCTTAGATGGCTATGTATTTCCCCCTTAGGACTGCCTTTGCAGTATCCTATAGGTTTTGGATCAATGTGTTTTCATTCTCATTGGTTTCCATGAATAATTTAAGTTCTTCTTTAATTTCCTGGTTGACCCAAACATTCTTGAGCAGAGTGGTCTTTAGCTTCCAAGTGTTTGAATTCCTTCCAGATTTTTCTTGTGATTGAGTTCCAGTTTCAAAGCATTGTGGTCTGAGAGTATGCAGGGAATAATCTCAGTCTTTTGGTATTGGGTGAGACCTGATTTGATGTGGTCTATTCTGGAGAAAGTTCCATGTGCATTGGAGAAGAATGAGTATTCTGTTGTTCTGGGATGGAATGTTCTGTATATAACTATGAAGTCCATCTGGTCTAGTGTGTCATTCAAAGCTCTTGTTTCTTTGTTGATCTTCTGCTTAGGTCTTTCAAAGATCTATCTATTGCTGAGAGTGGAGTATTGAGGTCTCCTACTATTAAAGTATTATTATCAATATGTTTCTTTATTTTGGTTAACAGTTTGCTTATATAGCTGACTGCTCCCATGTTGGGGGTAGATATTTACAATTTTTAGATCTTCTTGTTGGATAGACCCTTTAAGAATGATATAGTGTCCCTCTGTATCTCTTACTATAGTCTTTAGCTTAAAATCTAATTTGTCTGATATGAGAATTGCTACCCCAGCTTTCTTTTGAGATCTGTTGGCATGAAAAATGGTTCTCCATCCCCTCACTTTCAGTCTGGATGTATCTTTAGGTTCAAAATGAGTCTCTTGTAGACAGCATATGGTTGGGTCCTGTCTTTTTATCCAATCTGCAACCCTGTGCCATTTCATGGGAGCATTTAGGCTGTTCACATTGGGAGTGATTATTGAAAGATATGATTTTTTTTAAAAATTTTATTTATTTATTTGACAGAGAGAGAGAGAGACAGCAAGAGAGGGAACACAAGCAGGGGGAGTGGAAGAGGGAGAAGCAGGCTTCCCGCCGAGCAGGGAGCCCGATGTAGGGCTCGATCCCAGGACCCTGGGATCATGACCTGAGCCAAAGGCAGACACTTAACAACTGAGCCACCCAGGTGCCCCAAAAGATATGATTTTATTGTCATCATGTTGCCTGTGAAATTCTTGTTTCTATAGATTGTCTCTGTAAATTTCTGTTCTATATTACTCTTGAGGTCTTTCTTCTTTTATAGAACCCCCCCCTTAATATTTCTTGCAGGGCCGGCTCGGTGGTCACATATTCCTTCGGTTTCTGCTGGTCTTGGAAGCTGCTTTTCTCTCCGTACATTCTGAATGACAGTCTTGCTGGATAAAGTATCCTTGGCTGCATGTTCTTCTCATTTAGTACCCTGAATTTGTCTTGCCAGCCCTTTCTGGCTTGCCAGGTCTCTGTGGACAGGTCTGACATTATCTGATGTTCCTCTCTCTGTATGTAAGAAATCTCTTCCCCCTAGCTGCTTTCAGGATTATATCCTTGGATCTAAGATTTGTAAGTTGTACTATTATATGTCATGGCATTGGTCTGTTCTCATTGATCTTGGAAGGGGTCCTCTAGGGCAGAGATTTTTGTTCATTTTATTTACAGATATATTATCTTCAGTATCTAGAACAGTGTCTGGAACACAGAAGATAATCAATATTAATAAATTATGCTTTTCTTCTAGCGAATGAAAAGTTGGGACTATAGTGAGTTTGGGAAATAGGTTAGACAAGAAGTAGATTTTGAAAGCTAGATCTAGCATTATATCATAATAACTATAATGGTTAGCATTTATGGTTAGCATGTGTTATGTACCAGTCACCATGCAAGTGCTTTAGATATATTCCTTCATGTAAGTTTATAATCATCAGAATTTCAGGGTCCCAATTTTCAAGTTTAGTTACTGATGTATTGATTAAAACTTCTGCTTCTTTCTCACAGGATTTAATATTATTAGTCTGTTTTTTGAGTTGGTCTTTATTAAGATGTAACACTTGAGCTCATATTTCTTGAAAGTCAAGACACAAGGCAAACAACAAAAGCTGATTAAGCAGTTTATATATAGTACATCTGGATTCTTTCTATGGTCTGACACTATCTTGAGCCTGTGTTCCCTTTTCTGATCACATACAGCCACATCAAGTATATTTAACCCAGGAATCAAAATAAAGCACAGTCTCTATATTCCATGTCTCCTTGTATAAACTGCCATATTCTGAGTGTGGAAATGAAGAAATACTCTAATATATTGAAGATTCCTCCAGTATACTGAAATCATTATGAGTGTGGGCTGATTGAGATTAAGACACATTCAGGTCTCCTCCTTGTGGATCATTGGTAACTGCTGGTTCACTTTCCTTGACTTTGTCTTTCCTACTCTCATTTTGCAGAAAATATACCCTGGATGACCTCACCACCTTTCATTGTGCATTAAGACCCCTCTCTTCAGAAATTCTTGGCTTGGCTTCTTTTTGAGTACCACTGATGTTGAAGAAAGATAGGGTAGAAGCCCCAAAGGGAAGCTGTGATTTTGAATTTCTCTATAGAGCAAAGAAAAATCAAGGAATGTATAGATATATATGGTGTGCCTCAGTTCAGTCTGAATACAGGTTAGGATTCTTCCAAAATATCGTGAATCTAAAGAACAGACTTATTTTTTTACATTGTGGAAGGTACAGCTTTTTAAAAAAAATTTTATTTTATTATGTTAGTCACCATACAATACATAATTAGTTTTTGATGTAGTGATCCACGATTCATTGTTTTTGTATAACACCCAGTGCTCCATGTAGTATGTGCCCTCCTTAATACCCATCACTGGGCTAACCCATCCCCCCAACCCCCTCCCCTCTAAAACCCTCAGTTTGTTTCTCAGAGTCCATAGTCTCTCATGGTTCAACTCTCTCTCCAATGCCCCCCCCTTCATTTTTCCCTTCCTTCCCCTCATGTCCTCCATGCTATTCCTTATGTTCCACAAATAAGTGAAACCGTATGATAATTGACTTTCTCTGCTTGACTTATTTCACTTAGCATTATCTCCTCCAGAAGGTACAGCTTTTGATTTGAACCACTATAACAAGAGAGGTGGAGAATGAGGCCACAGGAGATTTTCTTTTTAAGGGTATAATAGAGGTCTAAATAACATATGGAGACTTCTAACTTCTGAAGCATGAATTCCCAATGAAATCCTAGGCAGAAGAATGACGTGGGAAAACTGGACAATTGTCAGTGAGTTCATTCTTGTGAGCTTTTCAACCTTGTCCTCTGAGCTACAAGCTCTACTGTTTCTCCTTTTTTTGACTATTTACCTGGTTACCCTAATGGGCAATGTTCTCATCATCCTGGTCACTACAGCTGACTCTTCTCTACAAAATCCTATGTACTTCTTCCTCAGGAACTTGTCCTTCTTGGAGATAGGCTTCAACTTGGTCATTGTGCCCAAGATGCTGGGGACTCTGATAATCCAAGACACAACCATCTCCTTCTTTGGCTATGCCACTCAGATGTATTTCTTCTTCTTATTTGGGGCTGCTGAGTGCTGCCTCCTGGCCACAATGGCATATGACCGCTATGTGGCCATCTGTGATCCTTTGCAGTACCCAGTCATTATGAGCCACAGGGCCTGTGCCCAGCTAGCAGCTGCCTGCTGGTTCTCAGCGTTTCCAGTGGCTGTCGTGCAAACCACATGGATTTTCAGCTTCCCTTTTTGTGGCCCCAACAGAGTGAACCACTTTTTCTGTGACAGCCCCCCTGTCATTGCCCTGGTGTGTGCTGATACCTCACTGTTTGAACTGAAGGCTCTGACAGCCACTGTCTTATTCATTCTCTTCCCTTTCTTGCTGATCCTGGGGTCTTATGTCTGGATCCTCTCCACTATATTCAGGATGCCTTCAGCTGAGGGGAAACACAAGGCCTTCTCCACCTCCTCCTCCCACCTCCTGGTTGTCTCCCTCTTCTATAGCACTGCCATCCTCACATACTTCCGACCCCGATCCAGCACCTCTCTTGAGAGCAAGAAACTGCTATCTCTCTCCTACACAGTGGCGACTCCCATGTTGAACCCTATCACCTATAGCTTAAGGAATAGTGAAGTGAAGGCTGCACTGAGGCGAGTCATCCACAGGACCCTGGGCCCTCAGAGACTATGACTGACTGAGATGCAAACCAAAGGGGTAGAATGCAAGGACAAGGGGAAGAAAAAAGAACTGCTCAAATGGGTTTTGGTCCCTACTCATTCTAAGAGCCATGATATACATCCTAGGATTTGGGACTTCACAAGTATCTGTTTCTGAATGAAAGAACATGAGTGATGAAGGAGAACTTCTGTAGGCCCAGGATTCTGTAGGACTGTGGGACCAACATATCTGAGAATGCTGCTAGTTTACACAGATTGGGAGCTAATGTGAAGGTTGACAATTGTAGTGACAATACTACAATTTGCCATTCTTTACTTGTTTTAACTTTTCTTAAACTTCTTCATCCATTTTTTTATAATCTCCTGCTTTACATTTTCTGTTTGTCCAAAAATTCTCCCTGCAACTTTCAAGGATCTTTTTGCTTACAAGATAAACTTATGACAATGGTGATAAGAAATAGTAGAGTTTTGTGTCATTCTTTCACTCATTTTTTTGAACTCACAATTTCAATACATTTTTATTCAGCATTCAGCATGTGTCAAACCCTGTTTAGGCCCGGGAGACACAGTGCCGAATAAAATAGACAAACTTCTTACCTTGTGGAATTTTGTTCTAGTGAGAAAGAAAATAATAAAACAATACTTAAAAACTTCCACTGGCCTATTAAGTACCCATGTGCTACTAGGCTAGCAAATGAAAACTTCTTCCTCTGCTACCATAATTGGTCTGTGCCTCATCTGGAGAAAGACTACTCCACACAGACACTGCCTCAATCTCAAATTATTCACGTTGGATATGAGAATTGTTTGATGGAAAGGGTCTTAGGCATCCCAATTTAAGTGGACAAAATTCTAGGAAACTGCTGTGAATAACCCAAAGATTCTTTGTTAACTAGATTTTTATGTAATCATATTGGGGTTAGATGAAATCAACTGTCCTTCTTAAACTTGCCTAGCACTCAACCAGTGTAGCGCCCATCTTTATGATTTTGTCCAGTGAATGAAGGCCAACTGTGGATACTTGAAAAATAGCAAACTTGGGGTGTGGACACCATAGATGTGTGTAAATTATTCATAAGAATTTATTGATAATTAACAGAATAAAAAAGCATTTACTGCATAGGCATGTCCTCTCCACAAACTATAAATAGCTCTAATTCTGTGTGCCATGGAGGTACCAGGACCAGTTCAATCTCCCACACAGTGTAACCTTCACCTTTCATGTAGCAGGGACTCTAGAAAGCACATTTTGAATTATCACTATAAGACTTTGCAAATGAAAAGGTAGATCCTGGGGTTCTGTTTGATGATAGCAATCACACAACTAAGTAGATTGGCACCATTACACATTTATAATCTCCAATTTTAGACAAACTTTAATCATTCCTTCACATGTATTTTACTTGTTCTTTTATGGTAGGCAGAATAATGGTCCCCCAAGATGTCCATGTACTAAACCCCAGAACCTATAAACATGTTACTTAACCAGGAAAAGGACTTTGTAGACAGAATTTTCAGATGGGGAGGTTATTCTAGATTTTATTTGGAATACAGTAACAAGATATCAGAAGGTAAGTAGAGAATGAGCTTGAAATATTTATTCCCGTGGCTTTCCCACCTCCATACACCTAAGTCCACAACTCCTGTCTCATGGCTTTCTATATACAGCTACCCTCTCTAAGTCCAGGTTGTCCTTCAGGCCCAGGGTTGGTACCAGCTTCTTCCTCATTCTTGCTAGCCTTCCAATGTCACTATTTCTTGTTAGTTTCCAAAATCCTGTCTTTACCTTTATCTGAGATATAAAATATCCATGTCCCTAATAAGAGTGTGAGAAGGACAGCAGAACTCATATATTCTCTTCATTGTACCCATGCTCTTCACACCCACTTCAAACACACATACAGACACATGTGCCGGCACACATACATCTAGCACCTAGCTCATAGTAAGTGAATAAATAATGCTTGTTAATATATAGATTATGTGATGATGCAAAGAGATTCAGAAATGCCAAAGAAAAAAGAATTGGAGTAGGATCTGGGATAGATTAATAGTAATATAAAACATGGGGGGAAAAAAAGATGGATTTTAGAGGTTCCAGTGTTCATAAAGTGTGAATGTATTTTGCAGGATTTCCTAACTCTCAGATGCCAAAAAAAACAAGAAAGAACCAGACCTTCCTTCTATTGGTCTGTGAATTACTGTCTTTCTTTTACAAAGAAAGTGCTTGATGAAGGATGGAGGGTAGGTCCACAACAAGGCCCAAGGATAAGAATCTTACAATATTCCAATCTTGCTAAGGCAACTACTCCATAAGTCTTACAGGCAGGGAGCCAAGAGGTTCTCACAGTCAGTGGCAGATTTCAAGCCTGCATGGGAAATTCCTTGTGGCTACTTTCTTCAGAGCTCCCTTCACATCCTTGTTCCTCAGGCTGTAGATGAGGGGATTAAGCATGGGTGTCACCATTGCATAAAACACAGACACCAGTTTTTCCTGTTCTTTGGAAGACTTTGGTGTCATGTAGGTGACAATTGCTGATCCATAAAAAAGGATGACCACCAGGAGGTGGGTGCCACAGGTAGAGAATGCCTTGAGCCTCCCCACAGCTGACTTCATCCTGATCACAGTTACTATGATGTGGCTATAGGACACCAGAATTAGGGAAACAGGTATGAGGAGAATCATGACACCCATGAGGAAAATGGTCATCTCTGAAGTGCGGGTGTCTGTGGATGCCAGGATCAACAGTGCAGGGGCTTCACAAAAGAAATGAGCAATACTATTGCTGCCTCGGTAGGGTAGCCTTAGTGTAAAAGTGGTATCCACCACAGACACCAGAATGCCGCTGGTCCATGATCCTGCAGCCAGCTGGGCACACACCCTCCAAGTCATGATGCTAGGGTAATGCAAGGGGTTGCAGATGGCCACATACCGATCATAGGACATCACAGCCAGAAAGGCACACTGTGTACATCCAAAAATGAGGAAGAGTATAAGCTGAGCTGCACAACGTGTGAATGAAATGAACTTCTTCTTGGATAGCAGGTGGACTAGGGCCTGAGGAACAATGTTGGTAGAAAAACAGAGGTCAGCCAGAGATAAGTTGCAGAGGAAAAAATACATGGGTGTGTGAAGCTGGGAGTCACCCTGAACAAGGCACATGAGAAGCAGATTTGCAAGCACAGTGACCAGGTAGATGCCCAGGAATAAAACGAATAGCAGTTTCTTGGTGTGGGGGTCATCAGAGAGTCCCAGAAGGAGGAATTCCATCACCTGTGTCTGATTTGTTTGTCTCATAGTTTGTCTCTTTTTTTCAATAAGAAGTCACCTCATGCTAAACATCGGTCCATATCACCTGTAAGATTATATAAATCAGATTTGGAGGGCTTTGGAATTGCCCTCAATCACTACCAACCATTCCAAGAATCCCCTTTATGTAGAAGAGGATCATGATGCTTTAGTTGGAACATTTTCAGTGTTGGAAAACTTAATACTTTAAGGATGGGTGCATTCATTTTTAGTGTCATCTGCAAATGTAGAGTAGATCAAAAGAATCATCTTCTTTATTTGGAATATGAAACATCTAATAATAAAAAAGATTCAATTAATCTATAAAGTATTGGCATTTAATTTCATTTTATTATCAACCAAAACCCTTGAGTCTTATGCTGCTATTGCCACACCTCCCCTGTCTTATGATGGTATAGTTGTTGTTTTTTTAATTCTTTGGGGATATGACTGTTGTTTCTTCCTTCAAAACACAGTCACTAAGATATAAGAAATAAAAAAAACCAAAGTACTTTGAAGAATTGACATTTTGTTTGGAGGAAATAAACCGTTTTTGAAAGAGCTGGGAAACCAAGGAGTAATTGGGTAGTATGCCATCATCTTTTTGACAACCCCATCCCCAGCTTCAGCTGGAACTCCCAAATATCAATCTTAACCTTCAATAAACTTCCAAAATAGGAGACACACCACCACAATATTTCCATCTGAAGCCACCAGGTTGACTAGTTTTCTCTGTTCAGACTAAACAGCACTAATCCACCATCTCTAGCCCATCATCTCTCACTGCCTTGCATTATCAGTCTATATCTCCCAGAGATGAAAAACTCCTATGAAAACTGTATCTTTTTCATTTTTGTGCACTTTTATAGACATGGTATAGGGACTTATTTGATCAATTATCATTAATTAAGTAAGGTAAATAAAAATAATTTGATCATATGGTTTAGTAGAGTTCTTCAAAAAGCCTACCACATTCTGATGTCACTAAGAAGGCAACATAGGTTGTTCCTGACTTTGTTCTCTCTCACAAGAAGAACAACCAACAACTATTCAAGAATAAGACACCACTGAGAAGCAGCCCATACACCACAGAGACCAAGATATGGCATTGAAAAAGTAAGAGAAGCAGCTACACATTGACTGCATTGTCCTTCCCCAGACCAGTGCAATACCATATGGAGAGGTCTCCCCTGAGACTCCTATTCCTCTAGTAGGAAAAGAAATCCCAGGAGAGACAATCTGCACTGCCCCAACATTGTGGGTTGCTTTACAGGAGCTCTTGCTCTGATCTCACACCACAGGGACTACAGGGGAATCAATGGGACTCAACCACCAGGAATCTGATTGTGATAGAGAAGGGGGAGGGGCTTGCAACAATCAGCACACAGATCTTGGCAGACTGAATTCATACCTACAGTGCCCAAGGACTAATCCCAATCAGCAGTTTTACTCATCTGTAGGACCAAGTCACGGGGGCACTTGATCAGAGAACAAGGTGGGGTGCAGGTCTGCCTGATTCAGATTCATAAAGGAGTTTTGCTGACCCTTGAGCCTGGTTTGCCCATGCCCAGGAAGGGAACTAAATCACAACCCTACCTGCAATGAAGAATGTCTTCTGGCCACATCTGACCAGATGGGCTGAGGACAACTCCTGGAAACAGTATAGCCTAGCAGTGCTCAAGCTGAGAGATGGTGGGCAGAGCTGATAGCACCCAGAGAAAAGC